GTAATAACCCCATGCCCTCCGGCTGAAGGGGGGTTTGAACCCCTTTACCCCAGGAGTGCTGCCAAGTTTACTTTCAACCTACCGGGTCTTTCGGCATATTGATGGGATTTATGTGTCAGAGTAACACCATGGTAGCAGATATCCAAATGAACAAAGTGATAAAAGCACATTTCATGTCTTACCTTCATGCAGATAGTCTGACATTTTACCCATTCCCATTAGGAATTCAGTGGATCCATGCTGCCACTATGGACAGTCCTTATCCGGGACATCTTAATCCTTTGACACAACTCTAATCTGGAGATGTTGGGCCTCTCTACTTATTGTACTATCCTGCTGTGAAAAGATGCGGCTAACCGTTATAAGAACTGACAACTTGTATAGGAACTGTCTAAATGATACGATATGTCCCCTACTGTTCCTTTCACAGTGTTTTTAGAATCCTTTTCATGTTGCTCTGTCTAAAATCCAATTTTTGACCCATTTCTTTCATCTGCTTCCAGGTTTGCGGAAAGTTAGGCATAATTGAAGTGGACTACTTTGGGCTGCAGTTCACAGGCAGCAAAGGAGAGAACCTGTGGCTCAATCTGAGGAACCGGATCTGCCAGCAGATGGATAATGTGACGCCCTGTCGACTGAGGCTACGGGTCAAGTTCTTTGTGGAGCCCCATCTCATTCTGCAAGAACAAACTAGGTATGTTTAGAAGCTCATGCGCTGTGTAGATTTTTCACAAATATCATATGACGCGCGTTGTATTTGAACAGAGAGAATTGGATTTGACCACTTCATTTTACCAAGTACCCACAATCAGATTGTCACCATAAAATTAAATCTGGCCTGTTTTTATTAAAATCCACTTTTATTTCTGTACAAGGACATGTGATGTGTGATGAGCAGCACATGGTGGGGTTAAAAAGAGCCTTTAAGTGTTCCCAGAGCATAATCTGATCAGTTTTTTTGATTCCAATACAGTGGAATGCCCTGTAGTAACCTCCTCCCCAGCCCCTTCCGGGGTTACTATAGTTCATTTCAGTGGAGCGCCAGGCAGGAAACGTGATCCAGCAGCTCTGGGACTGTGCTGCTCTGTGTCTGCCCCCAGGGACCATCTGTATGACGGCCAGGACTTCTGTTGCTGCCCACATTAAGCTCAAAATAACGTTTGTTGTGCATTTTTTTTGTGGCTATTTTTGTCTGAACAAAAGCACAACACTCAGTTTGACATTTTTGCTGCTGCCATTTGGAAACTGTGCGACGGGTTTTTGTTTTCCCTGAAATAAGTCACCATTATGAGTCACAGGAGCAGCTGGTTTTCACAGTGCTTGTAACAGTCTTTTGAAAGTATCGGGTTATACGTTTCCATGTGTGCTTTGAGGTGTTTGACCACATTTATCCTAAATGTTACACTTTCAAAACAAAATAGCCAGCAAAAGTCACTACAGCAAATGATGTATTGTAACCACATCTTCCCCTACATCTCCTCTCTTTGCCAGATAAAAAAAAAAAAAAAGTTGAAACAAAGTAAGTGTTGACAAGGCTAGATTCTGACTTGGTGTTCCTAGCCACAGTTTTGTTTGAAGGTGCAAATAGTAGTTTGTTTGTTTGTTTATAGCCCTCAGAACCTGTCCAAAATACATTTGTTTTACATGTCTGTGATATCATGGGTGTGCCTTCGGCTTCAGGCGGCACTATGAGTGTTTGATATAGTAGAATTGGAATCACAGATGTGAAGCAAGAGCACACTTGAGGGAAAATCTGTTTGGCATATAACCACGCTTCCTTTACCCTCCCTCCCTCACACACACACACACACTCACACACACACACAGCATGACTCTAGAGCTGTTCATTAAACTGACACATATCTGCCTTGGCCAAGATCTGTCTGGCATTCCAGTATGCCCGTCCTCAGTGCCTCCCCAGTACATCCACAACCCTGCTGTCAGCTGTTTCTCAATCTCTGCCCTCCCCTCACTCTACTCTATCAAATATAAGGATATCAACTTTGCTTTATCTTCTGATGTTTTTATTACTGTCAGATATAAACTGCCCCTGATCACACTCCCCTCTCTGTCCATCTGACTCACCCTCCAACTCCCTCTTCACCTCACCCTGACCCACATTTGGCCTTTGAAGAATAAAGTAAAAGGAAGCGAGGGGAGAAAGCATGAGCATGGAGGGCACTTGGCTGCATGAGCTCTGACCTCCACTAGATTAGCAGGGGTTATCAACAGATGGCTGGTGGAGGGTGGGGATTAGGCATTGTGAAAAAAGATTTCACATAGGGATGTGAGTTGTCAGGCAAGGGTATATGGGGTTGCTGCTAATAAATACTTATGGCACCATGCTATCAAGATGTGTTTAATTTTGGCTCAGCCCTCATGTCATCCGTCTGCTCAGGTGTGATGTAATTTAAATGGTGCCAGTGTTTGCACTGGCTCCAGTTGTGGGTGATTTTTGGGAACCAACACACAGCTCTGCGAGTTCTACTAACTTACAGGATCATGGAAAAAATACACAGCATTTTTCTGAATTACCATTTTGTATTTTCATGACTATTTATAGTAAAAAAAAAATTTTTTTTTTTTTTTACTTTCATTTAAAGTTTCTAGCTTAGCTTTGAGGTAGTATGGTCATAATGTGAGCAAATTAGTGATTTGAGGACCTGGTAGGGAACTGTTTCACTCTTTGTGCTGTCACCTTTGACCTACTTAGGCTACTACAGCCTCTGCACAGCTTGTTTGTACTGCAGATATGCTCCCCAGCAAACTGGCACACTTTATTGTGTTGCACATTTTTATTACTGGCATGCATACAGGCCGTTTTCAGTGCATGGAAACATCTTTTTAACTAGTTTTTGGAATGTGTCCAGTTCTTGTCTACAGAAAACTCATCTTTGTTTTTGTATTTGCCAAGCCAACTTCAGGACTCCTACATTCACTTTATAGTCACACAGCATGCTCTAGTCGCTGTTAGGTATTTTTAGTCAGATAGATATTAGATAGATACTTTATGTATTAGAAATGTTTAGTGGAGATAGGATGTCTAGTTAGACTGTTAAATGCTTAGTCATGCTTATGAGTTTCTACAGGGTACATCTGGTCAAGGATAACTAGAGAGAAGAGTTGATGACTGTCAGCAGACAGGGTGTTTAATATTATTACGTGTATAACTGTAGCCTTAGCCATAATATGTTCTTATGTTTAAGTCACGACATGTTACTAGAGGTCGTGTGAGAATGTTTTTAGTTACACACCACTTAACCAACAGACTCACACATTGATTTGCTTCATGTTTTGACTACTGCTATGGCCAGAGCTTTTAACAGAGACGTCTCGGTTGACGTTTCTGTGTAGTATGGGGCTAGCCCAACCGAGGGGATATAATGTATAGGCCTGGTGGGTTCAGGGTCTTTCATCTTACATCTGCCTGCGTGCATGTTGGAGGTGCAAGATACCTGAGCGTGTAATGTTAAGTTTTGGCTGTGTTCATGGAATAAATCAGCACTGTTTTGTAGTTACTTGGACTGTCTCGTCTCTGAGTCAGTATGGTAAAAAGTACCGGGTACAACATCGCTCAGTTGCAAGTGCATAGGAGATTGAGTAACTATTCTCAGCAGTGATGTGGTTTTAACTGAAGTGAGGGCTGGGCTGTTGTTCTTATGCCCTTATAGGCCTTATTATACAACCTGCCCTGGACTGAGTGCACACAGAGCTGCTTATATAAGCCACTGTGTACTCTGCTGACACGTAAAGCCTTACAGGTCGCTCGAACATTCATGCTTGCATGCAGCTGTACACGACCATATGGATACTTTTAATTAGGTTTCTTTTTTTGCAGGGTCTACTCGTGCTGGAAAACGTTTGGAACACACAAATACTATTCAGACTCAAACCCACATCTTCATAGTATTCAGACCAAACATTGTGTACTGGCTGCTCATAACACTAATGCCTAATCTTATTGTCCTCTGAGTTTCTGTTTTGGACAGCACTGAACCTAGACTAATACAGGATTTTCTTTAATCTTAATTTATTTCATGCCAGTAAAAAAACAAAATCAGTCCTATATTTCTGTGGTGTGTTACCTTTTGGGCACAGGAGACACTTTTATTGGTTAATACAGACACAAGGGCCATCAGCATCAGCCTGTATTACCTGCATCATTAAACACCTGTTTGATTTCTATATGTGAATGTTTCCCCTTCATTACTACTCGTATTTTGCATTCCGATCAGGCAAACCATTGGATACCCTCAAAGGGCACTGCTATTAGCACTGGGTTTATCAGAGGTCCTGATTGTGAACCTCTTTACCCCCATTGGGGCTAAGATTACCTTTAACTTAAATACCAAACCAAATGCATTTTAACAAAGGAAGATGAAATCTAATCTTTAATCAGGTTTCAACTTTTTTTTTCTTCAGAAATTAAATTTGTGCACATATACTGACACCTTTCCTCAAATGTTCCTTAAGTATCACCAACTTGTTTGACTTGTCATTGTCAAACAAGTATTCAAGAAGAAGTTTTTGACTGAGCTCAGAAGTATAGTTCACCCATGAAAATGACAGACGAGCACTATCTCTGACATGCCTTGTTGACAGAACTTTCTGCAAAAACAAGAATGAATTCAGATCACACAGGTTATCCTTTTCATTTCACCATGGCAGGCTACTGAGATGATTACACAAGATGCACGTGGCCCTGCAAATGTTCAACACCACCACCTAAGTTATTATCAGCATTCTCGGTTGTTGGTTATTAGTTGCTTTAGCTTTCCCTATGCGTTTCCTTCCTGTTTGTTGCACCCCCGTTAACCTCGTTCTGGCTTGTCTTGTTTGAAGTCAACTTTAGCCCTTGCCTAAGAATGATAGAATTGTTATTTGTTTGGTTCAGGAGTGTGGGATTCATGTCTGACTTTAATTACCATTTTACCATCCAATACACAACCACCAGCCTCTAATCTAAGGCATTAAGAATACAAACTGTTTCTTTGTTCTGTCGCTGTGTAGCCTTCAATTTGTCTATCGTTTTGCAACTTTCTACTAAATGGCACGATTAAAACAACTTTTTGGCGTTTGTCTCTTGACTTTCGATTCAGCCCACACCTCTGTCTGGCAGAGGTTATTATTGTTCACTGACATCTAGTAACCTCACAGCACACAGGTTCAGGCAGTGTGTCATCTCACTAGCTTACATGCCGCAGGTCTGAAACTCTACTGGTAATTGGCTGGATGAGGTGCGACCTCTACGCAGAGGTGTTAGGTTTCAGTTTGTTGGAGGTTTAGTTCTTCTGGGGAAATTCTGCCTACTGGTTGAACAGTAGTTGACGGAAAACATCAAAATGAGACAATGGTTTTATAGATGAATGGAGTGAGAGATTAGTTGGCTTGGTAATGAGTCTCTGGTTACTTGGAAAAGTTTTGTTTTGTTTTTTCTCCTCCCTTCTGGTACCAGAGTTTGTATATATATTGCTTTTTTTAAGTTGAAATGGTTCATTCCATACCCAAACTCTGCCCTGTAGCCAATTACCTATTTTCAAATATTCCTTCTTGGGATTCTTGCTTTAATTGAATTATTCCAGTTTGGCAATCGAGTATTCAAAAAGGCTTTCAGTACCTTTTTCCTCCCTCACAACCACAGTTTTGAATAGCATGTGTTTCTCCTGTGCTTGGTTAGAATTCACAGCATTATGG